TGAATTTTGTGCAAGTTTGGGTCCTTATATCACATTTTTGCCTAATATTTTGTGTTAAGTTGTGTTTCGTACTTCAAAATCCAATTTGCTTTGATGTGATAGGTTAGAATTTTATAGATATTAATGTATAATTCTTGCCTTGACATTATCAATATTTAATTGAGTTTTATGAGATTTTACTTTATTTTATATAATTTTTTTATTTTTTGTGTAAAAAAAAGACTTAATAGGAAGATATCAAAACTTTTAAGACCAAACCCAATAAGTCATAATTATGAGGATTAAAGTGTAAAATTGATTAAAGATAAGGGACCAATACACTTTTACCAATAAAGCCCCAAAATTGCATTTTGTCCGAAAATAACAAAATTCCCGACACGGACTTTGGTTGAAGGCATTGGTGAAGGTGTCGCCACTTTGACTTGACGTGTCAATCCCTAGGGCAATTTTCAACAACTCTACATGGAACTTTTATTATTTTAGCCGCATGTCAATCCCTCTAGTTCAAATCAGTGCAAAATCAGCTCCTTAACTATACGAAATCCAAAAATTAGTCCTTTTAATAAAAATGATATTATTTTTTAGTAGGGATGTCAACAGGCCACGCGGGGCCAGGGGTCCCTCCCCATTCCCATCCGCGCAAATGGCAGTGACGGGGATCCTGATGACTGTTTTTGATAAAAGCAGATTCTGCCCTTCATCCCCATTTTCCACAAGGATCACATTCCTCGTCAATTAATATGAAAATATAAATTTTTTACATTAAATATAAATAAAAATCAATTCAACATAAATAATTAAATCAATAAACTTATTCCAAACATAAATAAATATTAATCTAATATAAATAGCTAAAGCAACATACTTGTTTCAAACATAAGCAAAAATCAATTCAACATAAATAAAATAATTAAACCAACATCCAGCATGAAGGGAAGCAGCCAATTCAAAACACCTTGGCTCTCAAAATCCACATTTGCTCATAAAAAAATGCAAACTTTCTCTATGTTAATTTAACCATAAACAAATTATTTAAACTTCTTACTATTTGGATCTATAGCCTATAGTAGTAGGTAAAGTGGTCCAGCACCAACAACAAAGACAAAGTCAACTGTTCAACAAATTGAATGGCAAATGGGTTCAACAGATGGATTTGGCAGCAGCAGACCAACAGTGTGTAGCAATCCATTCAGCAGCAATGTGGCTTTGAGTCTTCAATAGAGGCTCCAGTAGCAGATCAGTAGCAGCAGAAGCTAGAGGGGGAGGGGAAAGTCAAAGGTGAGACTGTGAAAGTGAGTGAGGAGAAACTATAGAAGCAAGAAAGGGAGGGGGAGGTTGAAGGTGAGGTGAGATTGAGAGTGAGTGAGGCGTGAGTAAGGAGATTTAG